CCCAATGGCGTGCATGCATGCAGCGTACTCGGATGCATGCCGACCAAGCATGCTAATTAGACACCGCCCATGCATGCGACAATCCAGCGCCGCTTCCTAGGCGCCACCGTCCATTTGCATGCCGGGTACCATGAGAGGCACCGTACATCATTTAATGTGACCACTTGCTTATGAAATAGTTTTTTTTACATAAAGGACACGTGGAAGCACAACTATGTAAGTGCCGATACCAGCGAAGTTGTTTACGTGAAAGGCGCAGGCAGATGGCTCATACATGCATGCAAAGCAAGGCCCCAGCAGCATGCAGGCACCCGTACTCGCATGCGTGCCGACCACCATGGCATGCATGCCAAGAATCCACCGCCATTTACGTGCTGCGTACAATCACCTTCCTGGGTATTCCATGGCTGCAAACAACAAAGTAATATATAATACCACGGAATTCAAATATTATGATACCATATGGATACGCGGCATGCTAGCATGATTTACATCCTACATGTAACCTGCAAGGAACGCAATATTCTTCTTTGAATCAAATATGGTATCATAATATATGAATTCACCCATATTATCTTACTCCTCATGGGGCTTGTAGCTATCTCGTTATTCCACGGTTCAGATGACACGCGTCTCAACCGGCCAAGCGAAGCAGGTGCCACATTAAATGAAGTAGGGTGCCTCCGATGGTACGGGACATGTAAATGGACGGTGGCGCGTAGTAGGTGACGATGGATTGTCGACATGCATGGCTCGTGCCTAACGCTTACATGCATGCTGCTGGGCCGGCCTCAATTTGCATGCACGCATCACTTGTCGATTTGTGTGCACCGTGGCCCCATCCCGTGCTCATTTCCGGTTCTCATCCCATCCCCATCCCCATCTCCATTTCTGAGATGCCTGCGCGGGCCGTAGATCTTGGCGAGAGATAGAACAACTTGACAAAGCACTACTTCTCCTGTTTTAAATTTTTTTTGCAAAACAAAGTTAAGTTCCTCGAATAATACTCTCATGTCGCTCAATGTGTTATATATCCTCACCAAAGGCGCAAATAGTTTGCCTTCTTCTATAGCACCCTAAAGTTTCAGTTTTCATAAATAGCTTCAAGTGATTTAATTTTGTTTAGCTTGCTTGGATTTTATATAGGAAAATAAGCGTGTTCAGAACTAAAGTTAGAAAGGACTATAAATTAGGGACCATGTATGTTGCGTTGGCGCTGGTTGCACCTTGTGTTTTATGAGCGATAAAATGCTTAAATACATTTGGCCATCATCTAATCCTTTTCGGGGTTTTTTCGGATACAAATATGAAAATAGTTTATATAAATCTAAGTCGAGCTCATGATTGTTTGACTAATCGCTAGTCGAGACTTCCGTTCCTCTCGGGACCGAGGGAGTATGGAGTAATATTGCCAGGTAGAGTAGTAGTAACTTTTAGGCAGATGACGGCTTTACTCCTGGCAGTTTGTGGAAAGTACTCCAGTAAGCAGCAAACCAGTCCAACACATGTGGACATTCTCGCATTGCTACAGTTCGTTATGATTGAACACTATGTACACTGCGCTTCTCGGATTGTTTAAGCGCCGTGATGACGTGGAACTGATCTGTAACACTACTAACCGTACTTCAGATTTAGTGACTCTGTTTGCCCTGCCTTTTTCCTACCAATCAAAGGAGCAAAAGCATATACGTACCAATGTGCTACATAAAAATCCTACGTAGCAAGCATGGCCTCGGATTTATCAGGCCTAGTTTACTACACTTAGATCTGTCTCATGAACCCGTCAATGATGCACTCACGGACGCCGCCGTTCCATGTCTCGAACTGTTTACCGCCGGGTTCGCTAGCAAGCAAGCAAATGGGCATGGCGCACAACACCGATGGCGAGGCCAACCAAGGTTGGAACATGCATCCACGCACTGTTGCTATCCGAGGAGGTAGCCAACCATCCGTCCGATGGATGCAATCCAATCAGGGAGCAAGCCGGCCGTGCGGTACAAAATTAACTGAGGCAGGTGAATCCGTCCAAGGATTCACATGACCGTCGCTGCCGCCATAACTGTCCTTCTCCTTTGTACGTGGATGGATGCCAATGCCACGCCATGGTCCCGGCGCCCGTGCACCCGGCCTGTGGACCAAACTGATGCGAGTTCCTTTCTCTGCCGTCTCTCGGCCTTTCTCATTTGCCTTGTTGAGGTCTTCTAGGGTCCGGAACTCCTCCCTCAGGAGCCTCTCCAGCTGTGGAAGTTTATCTAAAGGTCCACCACTTGGTGAGTCTCAGGGCATCGTGGGATCGGACGGGACAACAGATCAGAGCAAATCCCATACCGTTCGGTGTAAACAGGAAACAAGTTGTAAATGACAAATATGGATAAGACACCAAGCATAGGCATCATCAATATCACTATTGTAGCAGTACCCAAGATAAAGGATGCGATATCATTAGATACATAGCACAGAATATATAAGCATTACGTATAGCACAGCTTGCGCCCTGACATCGTGGTTCTATTTATCCATACATCATACAACCATTCATTACAAGCATAACCAGTCTATCGAGTCGTACACCACAGTTCATGGTCGGAATTCATGACTGCAGCCATGAAGTTTTCAAAACACAGAGCTGGGCAACAACCTAACATGCCACAGCTATGCAAACACATAAATAGCTGTCTACAGCTGGTCTCGTCAAGAGCATTGTGATCTTCATCTTCTGGAGATTAGGCATCTTTCATTGCACTATAAATAGGAAAGGACATCAGTTACGGTGTTTATAGATTATAACAAGGGGTATTTTCAATGGGGCTAAAAGAGACAACACATCTTATATAGGGCTCAGTCATAAAGCGGCTGCTATCTGAAACTTGAGCATAAAGTGGTTAGTATTTGAAACCAGCATCTTTATCAGCGAAAAGCCTATTTGTTGTTCCTTTGACAAGCAATACATGAGTCCTAGAATTAAATTGCCACATTACATACACATAAGAATATGATGCGACAAGCACACAAAATGATCATAGAATTTATTTCAGCATTGCAAACCCTTTTCGTCACACTTTTATGTGTCTTGGTTATCGATGGAGAATCAGCTGGAACACTTGCATCAAGGCTAGAACCAACATCCAGCAGGGATGCACACAACACAGAACCAGATGCACTCCTAAATATTTGTATCAACCAAGATTTTAGAATCAAATTCAGCTACATAATCATGACGTATGCACCGTTAAATCATAATGTATGCACCGTTAGTTTCGTCTGCATTGTTAGATTTCAGAATAAAAATAACACCAATCAAAATACAACCTCGTCTTCTGGATAGGGCTATAAGAAACACCAATCACCATTAATACAATGCAATTCGCAGAATACCTAAGAGACGCGCACAAGCTCCATCTAACCATCTGAAGCTATACAACTAGCTTAACATTCAATTGTAAGACAAATCTAATCCGCCTAACTGTATTAAATAAGCCACATATTAATCCACCTCACTGGATTACAAGTCAGAACTACACAAATCGTAAGGTACCAGACAAAATTAAGGTGGCCACCTAAAGAACGCTAAGAACATACGCTCGGACCATGTAATACTCCAACCAAACAAAATGAGCAAGGTAACCATCAAGCACACAACAGCTGTATGAAGCAATGAGACTAACCTCAGGCTTTGGCTACCAGCATTGTATAGACACAGTCCCTTTTTCCTGCAGGTAGGAGTGACCTGGAAATTAACCAACAAAATTTCCTTATTGGATATAGAAAACAGTATCGGCGCATGTTATTTGCCTGAGTTTTTTTTATAGTGTTAGCTCCAGCTGAACTTTTCTAGATCCTTTAATGTGTTTACTTAGTAGGAAGTATGCCTACCTGGTCCATGCCTAATATTAATCATTATGCAGGTATAGCGTCGTCCGATGGATCTCTAACATATGTACTGATCTCAGAAAGAGACAGATCACATGCTACTAAATTTCTGAGATATAAGCCACAGTCTTAGACAGTGAACCCAACAAGCAAAAGCTAGATTCATTTTGCCCCGTAATATATGGGAATTGCATTCCTCAGTCTCAAATGCTCAGGAAATATTGACCAAAGACCCATTGAATACAAAATCAAATAATAAGGAACAAAATGAACCCATCAACCTCACGGCATGAAGCATATACCTACATTGAATTGAGAACCAAAGACTTTTGAATAGAAGAAGATTAGGGTGTAAAAGTAGGTCTTTTCAGAGGGCCGTCAATATATTTCCATCTGCATGTAAGAATGTATGAAGAACCAACTATTGCATAACCATGAATGGCATGTTGAAAATCTGACGTATCCGAACCTAAGGCATAGAACACATGATTTTTTTTTATCAAAACCAAGCGGTTTTCTATTCTTAATTCTAGAAATTCAAAGAATAGCTCACCTCACTACATGTTCGACAGAAATGTTATTATGTTAAGGAACCCTTGGAGGATGCTGCTAACCCAGCACAACAATTGTAGGCCCGAGCACCTCTGACAGGCTGTACAAATCTCCAATTTGAGGAGCCGGATTAGAAAACAAAATGGGTATAGCTTACTGCTTGCTGGTTACCCACCTGTGTGTTGTGCAGGGGCTGTCGTGCCACGGTTCCACATCACGAGTTGTCCTCCAGCACGGCTGCAACCATAGAGAACGGGAAGAAATCAGATGGGGTAGAGATGACGCCCGTACCTTGTTGAAGGATACCAGCCGGATGTGGAAATGAGAGAGAGGACTCAGGGCCGCCACCTCACCGAGGATGCCTACAAGCAAGGGGGCATGGGTAGAAGCAGATTATCAGCCTAGGACAGCAGATCCAGAGCGCGCGGGGAGGGGAGGGGACTCACGCACATAGCGGTGCTGGTAGACACCTTGATCTGCTCCCGTCATGACAGGATCTGCGATTGTCGAGGCCGGATCTTAGACGAAATGCTCGTGGGAGGAGGAGATGACTGCTCCATTTGGGACGCGACCGGAGATCAGGATGAGCCGATGAGGCCGAAGATCCTCGACGCCGATTGGGGGTGGAGGAAGGGGAACCCTGGGGAAGGGGCGGCGCTGTGAAACGGCTCAGAAATCACCTTGTAGACGGCGCCGAAGCCGCCCTGCCCGATCTTGAGCGCCAGCGAGAAGTTGTTGGTGGCGGTGAGGATCTCCTCGATGGAGAAGACGGAGCTCTGGAACGACGGCCGGTGCTCCCTGCCGCTGGCGTGGCCACCGCCGCTGTACAGCCCGCGCGCAGAGGTCTTCGTCCCGGCGTACCCCGGCACTGCCGCCATGAACCACGACCATCAACATCATCACGCATGGCGGAGGGCACGGACTGGGGGGTGAGCTGACTTACAAGGCGGCTTCTTGGCCCGGCGTCACACCGCCCGGCTTGGCGGCGTCCCTCCTCCTCCGCTTCATGGACGCGGGACGCGAGCGACGACGACGACGACGCGGTGGAGACCGAGCTGAACCACACCACGATGGAGCAGGGACGGGGACCTCAAGGACGAGGAGGAGGAGCTGCTTGCGGCGGCGGCCTCCGCCACTTCGGACAGCGGGCCCGATCACGCCGGGCTCGCGGCCACCGCTCGTGCTCGGCTCCCGCCTCCCGACCCGACCGACCCGACGACGACGGGGCAGGCTCCGCGCGGTCTCCCCGGCCATGCTCCAGGCGCGATGGTTGGTCGGCAGACGCGGTCGCGTGTCGCGCCGAAGCTCTGCGCCAGCAGCAGCGGCTCAGAAATGGAGATGGGGATGGGGATGGGATGAGGACCGGAAACGAGGACGGGATGGGGGCCAGGGCGCACACAAATCGACAAGTGATAAATGATGCATGCATGCAAAGCGAGCACGGCCCCAGCAGCATGAATTAGGCACCGGCCATGCATATCACCTGGTACTACCTCACCTGGCCGGTCGAGACGCGTTTTATGTGAGCCGTGGAATCTCGATCCAACGCACTAAATTAAAAGAACTGACGTGGACAGCCTAGAAGGCCGCCGATTCGGCGTGCCTTCATATCTTTAATTAGACCACTAATAGATTTATGGCCTGATAATATTTATTGGTTTGTATGTTTATTGCAAGGTTCCATGTTCTCATTCCTCCACTGCATATGATTTCGTCCGATGGATCCCTCAACCATCATCGACATAACAGATCATTCTCTTGCAGTGGTATCTGTTGTGCCTACAAGGCGCTCGAGGACTAGCGCCACCATTGACAGATTCGCCTTTGTCAAGCGTAAAACTACGGTCAGTGGCTTGTCATTGGTTATTGTCTGGTCTTGTAAATGGTTAGCGCAAAAAAAATCAAACGATGACAGCCCAGCCAGCCTCACATCAGTTCTTTAAAATGTTAAATCTTTTCTACAAGAGCAGTTTATTCCTATAATAATGCATGATTATCATGGTTTCTCCAGTGTTTCCAGCTACTTTTCAGGTCTGGCAATAGTTAAACGTCTATTTGATATTTTGATTGAGTTGTCATAGCTCTAAGCTGTTAATGAGATTGTGCTTACATTACTGAATTTTCCTGCTAATGAGATTGTGCACTAAATCTGAAGGATGCCTAATAACTTATTGATTTGATTACTACATGCAGTAAGATTGGGAATCTTTAACAAGTGTGTCCATGGCAGTGACACAGGTAAGTGAGATGGTTGCGATGAGGTGAGGTGCGGTCTCGGATAACAGGGGCGATCATGTTTTATTATGGTTTCCGGAGGGGTGAAACATGGCACTTACGGTTGTGGGATTGGTGTTAGATGACTGAAAACAAGACACAGTTTTGGGATGAGAAACGGTTGTGGGATTGCCGGTGTCAGATGCCTGGCGTGCTGAATATTGGATTATTATAATATGAATGTCGTAGCAAATGATCATTTTTTTTATCATCAGCCTATCCAACTTCTTGACCAATAACAATTTAGACACCTCGTGGTTTTTCATGATTGAACTATTAATGTATGATGATGGGAACTCCTGGCGATTTATAGACAGACATACTATTTTGAAATAGAGAGTTGTGTTTTAAAGATAAATTTGAATTATGTGTTTCCAGTGTCAATTTTCTGGTGTTTCATTGACTCTCATGTAAAAGATGTTTGGCTACAAACTAAATGTTTGTAATGATACAACACACGTGTAAACTTAAAGTGCCATTGTCTTATTGTTTTCCCATTGCAACGCACGTACATTTATCTGGTGTGAAAGAAGTCTGGAGACCTCTCTTCATCTATTCATCGAGTGCCCGTACTCAAGGAAGGTCTGAGAATTAGTGGCAACTTGGAGCAACTGTGCCAACCGACACCCAGCTTCCTGGACCCGGCAGAATGATTCTAAGTTTGTGGCAGATTTGGAAGCAAAGAAACGAAGTAGTTTTCAACAGCGAGAGAAGGTTAGAGCAGGCGATTTTCACAAGGACATGGGATGAATGCTCTGATTGGATCTCGGCCGGGGGAAGAGTCCTCCGACCCGTAATGATTGCCCACCATTTAGCGAGTAATTAGCCTTATTTTTTTTCTCGAATACGCAAGAGCATTGCGTATCATTTGTATTAAGAAGGAAGAGAGTTTAAATTACAAATGGCCTACGCCGGCCCGGCAACAGAAGCTTAAAGGGGATTACATAGGCGTTAAGAACTATCTGCGAACGCGGTTTGTCGCCGTGTTCTATCCTGCTCCTGGCGTCATGATCTCCGGCCTAATGTCAGCCACGGGCGTCCGCACGTTGTCTTGGCGTGCTCTGGAGTTCAGACCCCGTAAGTTCCACAATAAAATGGAGATGTTATCCATTGATGTATACGACGTCCGGCAGACGGAGATCAAGGCCAGTTGGCTAGGACCGTGGCCCGGCGGACTACTCGACCAGCTCGTGTTTTTGTTGCTGGGAATAGTTCGTCCAGGGCAGCTACTTGTGAAGTTATGAGGCTCCCGGATAGAATGGCATCATAGGCCCGCTTGGCCCCTGGTGATGGTGGCGCCGTGTTTTGCAGAATCCCCATTTTCCTCATGAGAAGCACTTCCCCACGCTTGGATGTTGGGATGTGCGCCAGCTGCTGCGAGGCGATCCGGCTGCTACGTAACGGCATGGCCCTCTTTTTCGTCGGGGCTTGCTGGGCTGGCGGAGTGTTGAGCAGTGGTGATCTAGTGTTTTGTATCACCTCATCAGCGAAGCATGCCAGCCGTCGAGCGGCTTCATTCGGCGACGGGGTGGCTTCGCTCGCCGTGGCGCACACGATTTTGGCGGTGGTGTCCGGAGCAAAGGTATCGTCTGATGTTAACATGGGTTGTGTTGCCGATGGCGAAACTGCCGGTGGTGTGGCGGTCGGCGGGGTGACAGGCGCCCCGGTCCCGGCAGTTGCTGTGTGGCCCAGGGGCTCACAGGTTGCAACCAGATTGGCCGCCACATGGTCACCACCTGCGTTGTCCGTAGGGACGGCGTGAGGGTTGGTCACTTCAACGGTGCCTGCCTCTTCGGCGCTCGCTGAGTTGTCGACTTGCATGACTGTTGGCGTTGTGGGGTCACTGAGGAGTCCTGCCTCGAGGATCATTGGATCCGAGGCCAACTCGACTCCAATGCACTGGCCGTCGTTTAGCATGTGGCCAAATTCGAATGGGAGCGGGGCCCCTAGTTTAGCCAGGTCCTTCTCCCGCCTGAGAACGGCCTGGTCGCAAAAGCAGGATTCGCCTGCATCCTACCGCGGCTTCGGCTTTTGCTTTTGCTTTGCGCAGGCGTACTCAGAATGTTGGCAGGCGTGGAGTTGCCAGGTGACGTCGTCCCGTGGGCATCTTCTTGCAACATGCAGTGCCTTCATGGCACCGACGGCTCCGCTGCCGCTCTTGCGGGTCCCAACCTCGCCGTCGACGACGCCCCTCTGGCACCGGAATCCCTGGAGCCAAGGACCGGTTCCTCGCTGGAAGTGGTGGCGATCTGGATTGCCGTCCTGGCCACTGTCGCCGTTGTCGGTGGTTGGCGGAGGTGGCGGCGGCGAGAGGTCGGCAGGAACGAAGTCGGCGATGCTGCGAATGTGGACAGTTACCCGGTACATGAGGACGTTCTTGCGACGCAGGGATGGCTGCAACCTGCCGAAGAGCAGCTGCTCGCCGGCGGTCACGAAGCTCTCGTTCTCGGCGACGTGCAGCCAGACAACCTTTGGGATGGCCCTCGGGTCGCTTGTCCAAGCAGTAAGCTTGAACGCGGAGAGGTCTGCCTTGGACGCCGACGATGGGTCGACCTGGTGCACCCAACAGCTGGGGGCGAGGATCTTTGCCGCGGTGTCTTCCCCCCAGGCATGAGGCGGAATGCCTTCAAGCTCCAACGTCGCCCTGAACTTCATGGAAGCAGCCTCTGCGTGAGCCAGGCGAGTCCAGGGGCGGAGCACCAGGCTGGTTCCTGCTGCTAGAACTGTGGACGCAGCAAGCATGGTGTCGCGGACCTCTCTGCTCCGACACTTAACCAAGAAGTTCTCAGGGAAGAACGGAACCACCGTAAAGGAGCCATCTTGGATGCTGTCGATGCCCGCTAAGGTGCGAGTGGCGTCTGCGATGTCGACGGTGGCCGTGGAGTCTGCCGCCAACGCTGTGATGGCGTTGCGCAGACTTGCTTCAGCGTCGCTGATGGCGGACGATCGTTGGATGATACAGGCGACCTCCACTTGCCTCGCCGCAGAGTGAGCGGGTGGCACCGGCACGCGGTCATCGGGGACGAGGCGGGTTGCCTGGCGGGGTGGAGCCTACAGCCTGTGAGGAAGCGCCTCTCGCGCATGTAGCCTCGCAACTCTGTACTCTTGCTTATTAATACAAAAGCCGGATATTCGGATCTTTCAAAAAAAAAAGTCATACCACTCGCTACGAGTGCAGTTTAATATTTGTAGGGTACAATTTGAGGTGAGATATAAGATGGATCAAGTGTGCTAACCTCAAGAGTATATTATATTTAATCCTAATAATCATTCTTTACCACAAAGAATCTAAAAAACTAGACAGGTCATAGCAAACTTTGGTCTACACCAACCTCCTCCACTGCTCAAGGTATTCATTTTTTTTTTAAATATCTATGTAGTATTTTTTTTATAATAATAGTAAATCAATAGCATTGATACATTTAAATCGCAGAGTGGGTAATTTTGATATAACTTCAAGAGGTACTTTAATTTAGATTATATATTATGGAGTAGGCAAGTAATTTAGACGTAAATTTAGAGTGTTATTTTAGATTATGTTTCATAATGGTATAAGTGGTAAATTCATACGCAGATTTAGAGATTATGTTACGTTATTTTCATA